CTCTTTGCACTTCCCTAGGGACCCTCTACAACAATTACTTTTCAGATTTCGAATCCCAGACGGTCGATTTTTCCTCCCCTACTACCTTAATCCGACGAAAGGGGAACGGCGGCTCTGTCGGGTTGACTTGCCTACCTGGATCATTAAGTCCTTTCGTACTCGACAACAAGGGCAAGAATCGCTTGTTCTCGCACTCTCCTAACTTCTGCACGTCTTCCTACGCGCGCGAATCGGTTGCTCGTTCTCGTCAGTGGATATATATTTTCATGATACCGCCTCAATGAAGACATAATCCGGCATAATCGATTACTTCCAGATCCAGACCTCTTTCTTCCTCTAAATTAACGAATGAAAGTTCAGACGTTCATATGCAGTCAGACTTCGTTATAATAAATTCCAAGGGCCAGAACAAAAATTTATTACAAGTAGGTTTTTATTACATCGAGGGATTTACTGTATCTCCAATATTCTACGCACAAGAATTCTTTAGGATTGAGTAAATCTCATGATATAATAAAAACCTCCTCATAATACATTTTTGTTCTGGTCTCTTGAACTCTACTATAACGAGGTTGATGTATCAGAGGGACGCCATTTTGGGGGGGGCAAGGGGGGCAGTTGCCCCCCTTGTGTCTTGAAGCGATTTTTAAATTGCTTCCTTTATTCCCTGCAATGTAATAGCCTGAAAGTTTGCCTTTAGAGCTCTCATACGGCATGGTTTTCATTGCTCCTGTTTCTTTTTCTTTTTTAACCTCAGAGTATTCATGAACTGAAGAGATGTGCTCTCGAAACTTGAAATTAATCGACTCTGTTTTAACTCCGTCTTTAACAACTTCCTGGGCCGCAACGAAGAGACCAAAAAAAAAAAGTGTCGAGGAGTCGTCTGCCATTGGCTGCACGGAGTCCGAGTGCAACCATGGTTGTATTTTCATCTAATCAAATACCATTCTTCTTGCAGCCAACTTTACATGACAACGCAGGGAGGATTTCTGGCGCCGATTTAATTTCGTGAATCCGAAAGTTTTTCTAAATATAATTTCCGGAATTTTGAATTTTACGAATTGAACCTCTCCTTATGCTTTGGGCATTAGCCCATACGGGGAAAAATTCACGAGCGATTCAATTTTGCGATTCACTGTTCCTCGTAAAATTCGCGAAATTGAAGCAGATGATAACATTTCTGGCTGAACTGTTTTTTTTTTTTTTTTGGGGGGGGGGGGGGGGGGGGGGTGGNNNNGGGGGGGGGGGGGGGGGGGGGGGTTCGTCAATTCGATTAGATTAATCGACCGATTAGTCAATTAAAGTATTAATTGCGTTTTAAAATCTTAGTCAATATTAATGGAATTTTGATCGACACTCCATTCGCCCCTGAATGCCTCTTTTTCCCCATACAATTTGACTGTGTAGTTCATAGCTTTGCAAATTAACCGAAAACGAATTCTTTATCAAGGGAATGTAATGTAATGATGGCTTATAGAAGGTAGTCTTTTCCGCACTGCTCACTCTTCCTCAAATATGACATCCTATTTTTGGAAGAAGGGAAGACACAAAACAAAGCTATCGCTTCCTGGCCCATTCGCAACCACAAGCGTACTGGCATGCATTCCATGTCCTTCCGACTAGCCTAAGGCTAAAGGCCTCGCGCGTCAGGCTAAGGTAGCAGATGCCTAGGACAAAGCGATCGAAAAGCACTCCATGCGAATGGGGAAACGAAAATTGTAATGAAGGCTGCTAGGAAACACGCAGAAGGAATAGGGAATTTGGGCAGGAAAGAGGATAATGTAAAAACTGGAGTGAGAGGCGTAAGTGTAAATGCGCCGGCCGTCAGTGGGGGCTCCCGGAAAGTAACCGGGAGAGGAGGAAAGCCGGAAGCAGGCGAGAGAGGAGAGGAAACGTAAGTGTGAAACCCTCTACTGTTCTTCGCTTTTTCTGTTTTTCCATTCTGTGTAGCCTGTGAATCGATAATGCATCTCTAAATCTCCACGTAATGAAGTGTCACTGTATAATTCCAATCATTTTTGTTACATTTTTGCATCCTTCCGGCATGGGTTGGCTAATGGCAAACGGCCTCAGTGCGTTTCTTTACTTACTTTTCAATATTTATCTGGCTAAGTTGTAATTATGCGCTCTCCGATTGGAATGTGTCACATGCATAGGCGCCGACTTCAAAAAAAAGTATTGGGGGGCAAGTTCCTAATGCCTAGGAAATAACATTGACGGAATAATTCCAAGATCCATTGGGGTAGCTCAGCATTCTTATGGTAGCAGAGTGACGAACGGGGGGGGGGGGAGGAGGTTCGTTGGCAGTGGCGTAGCCAGGGTTTCGCCGATGGGGGGGCTAAACGGAACGGTGGATTACTTCTCCTCGCCCGGTAGGGGGGGATGCATTTAGACCGGAGTTGGGGGGGCTGAAGCCCCCCAGCCCCCCCCCCCTCGCTACGCCACTGTTCGCTGGGCATGGCCCTTCCACCCCATACCCATACGGGGTAACACAGGGATCTCCCCAATTGGAGCTCTAAACAGAAAGGAAAATCATATTTTTCATTTCTTTCGTGAAACAGCATTTTGTTTCCAATTTCCCATGTGCCATACTTTTGTTGAAATTTTTGCCATTCTTGGGGGGAGGGGGGGGGGGGGGGCACGTGCCCCTTTGCCTCTTGGGTTCGGCGCCTGTGGTCACATGCAGGTTAAACTAGAGTGTGTATGGATAGCGACTGCTTCGTCTTCAGTCACTTCCTAAGGTTCGCCTAGGTGTTGGGCACGACACAAGCAGGATCATGCCTTACATCTAGGACACGATCAAAGGAGGAACTAAGGGATTTATTTAAATTCGATTAATCGATTAAATTCTTTTAGTCGATCGACAGCCCAACGTTTTTTCAAGTTGCATAGTTTCTTTGCCACCCCTTGCAGTTTTACCAAATTACGACCCTGTGCATCAGCATCATTTCAACATTAGGGTGCTCAGCTTATCATGTTTGTGTCGCAAGTAGCCATTGGTCTGAACAGAGCTAAGGCTACTGAAGCTGAGTAAGACATTTATTGAATTTGACGAAATGGGCACGGTGGGGAGTGTACGAGGAATACGATCGTCTTTCCGGATTCCACAAATATATGAAGGCAAAGCATTAAAAAAATTATAAAACATTTCTTTTCATGACGCGATGTACCTGAGACAGGTTCACTTTTTATGCTTGCAGATGAAATGCTGGTTGGATTCGGGTCCGGGGAGGTCTCTAACACACGCACAGAGCGGGAAAGGAAGAACCTGACTGGCTGGGCTAGATTTGTAGTTTTGGCCCCGGGGGCACCGTACTGTCATGTCTGCTTCCTCGCATAACCAGAACGCGCCTTAGTACTTTCACGCCGTGTGTGGGTTATACATTGGGTGAGAAATGGAGGAGAAGATCGTGAAGGAACCATGGTTCCTGGCCTCCCTTCAGCAATTTCTTCACCTTCCTTTCACCCCAGACGTGAAGGAAGTTCGAATACAGAACGTCCCCGAGGGGAAGGTTAGTCCACACTTCATCCTAGGCCTAGGCCGAACTTATGACTACGCTTATGCGATACGGGAGGATTGGCAAGGCCTAAAATTTCAACGCCTCCGAGATGATAGGAACGAGACAAGCCTTCTTTATGTTTCTAGGTGAATTTCCTGAGCCAGATAACATTCATGACAGTGGTGTGCAAGAATCAGGCTGGTGAAGAAAAACAAGTTCATCTATTTGCCAAAACCCTCCCCGGAGATCCTAAAATTCGGTTGTTGGTCCAGCAGCTAAAGGCCTTTGAGACAGAAGCCTTGTTCTACTTTGACTTCCTAAATGCCCTGCATGGTCAGCTCTCATCCATGAGTCAGCCATGGCCTCCACTTGCTGTCCCTCGTCTCTTCCATGTACAATCTGGGACGTTGGTGATCCTGGAAGATGTCCACAAGAATTATGGCCATTCTATGATTGCCTTTCCCCAGCACATCCCTCAAGGTCACATGAAGAAGCTGGTCGAGGAATTGGCTCGCATCCATGCTCTCTCCCTCTTGGTCCTGGATGAATCTGCAGCTTCTCATTTTTCCCTGTTCCTCAGGGAACCCGAGCCAGATGAATTCCGAGCTTCAGAAACCTTGATCAAAGACTGGTCCACATTTCTTCGAATCCGGCATCCAGGCATGACTGATTTGGCTGAGGCACTTGAGAAACTTGGACACAAGCATCCTGAAACCCTGGTGGTGGAGATTGGGAAGAAACCTGGAAGGATCCACACTTTGACCCATGGAGACTTGTGGCAGAATAATCTCATGTGGAAAGATGATGGAAGCGTTATGATCCTAGATTGGCAAGAAGTAAGCTACCGAAGACCAGCCTGTGATCTTGCCACATTTCTTCTCACATCTTGCACGTCCCTTGAACGTCGAGAACTCACAGATCCTCTCCTGGACCTCTACTGTGAGGTCTTCAATGACACAACCATGAAATCTGGATCCACCTTAGACTATCCAAGGAGAGAAATTGAACGGGATTACAAGGAGTGTCTTCTGTATGCCTTGATTCGATATCTCATAGCAGTCCCATTTGTATTGGCTTCAGTCCCTCCCACCCAAGGTGGGAATGGAGGATTTCTGCCTGGCCATCATCATAATCTTATGCAGGAGATCATCAAAGGAAACATCAAGGATCAAGTACTGGAACAGAGGGTCCTTGAGGTTATGTGCGATCTTCATGATCTCCACATCCTTTGAAAGTTCTGGTTCTGTCCCCCTTAACTCTTCCATGATGAATTTATATTTTGAATCTCTGGCTTGAAATAAAAAATCACTTTGTGAAATACTTACCTTCTTAATTTTTCCCTCCTTTTGATGAGATCAGTGCATCTGAGATAGACAAATTTCACCTTGCTCTTTGTGTAAATTGCACTTTTTATTACAAAACGAACACACAATGTGGTAATAAAAATGGCACAGCAGTCTTAGAATGTATCACACTGAGTGCAGCTGCAAACCCCCTCAACATGGACACAGTCAACTAATTCAATCCCATAAAGAAACAATGCCAAAACAGCTGATTTCTTTTGAAACAACCAAGTTGAAAAATATTGGGCTAATTAAGTTCTAGTTGAAAGGAAAGTTTAACATCAATGGCTGGATCAATAACTGCAATGCATAATGCAGTGGTGATGGCTAAAGCAAGCACTAAACAATCATAACAGTCACTCTTACTTTTGTAACTGCTAGCCATGGATTTCTGGTTTAGCTATGGTGAAAAAAAAATTGTATCATGAGCTGAAGGGATGCTGAAAATTGTTTCACATACACTTATTTGATGTCAGGGCATGTTAATTCATGGAGTGAGGTAATAGTGCCATTGTTATATTCCCAGTCAATTCAGAGACCTAAAATGAGACTATTCAACTGACAGCCTCGATGACTTCATTGTGCATTGGTCACGAGTTGGAGCAGCATACAATGACATGACTGCCTGAGCTCAGAGGCTTGCAAATTATCAAAACATGATGGGTGTTAGAGTCCATCTCACCACAAAATGCTCTAAGATAAAGATTTCATGCCCTCTCTTTGAATAGGAATGAAGATAACCAACTAAGTCTTCACTGCATATGCAATATCAAGACAGGTTTTCATCAGCTACTTTTGGTCAACTTACAACTTTGAAGATGGTAGTGTGAAATCCATGTACTGGTGTGATGCAAATTGCATTACACCAGCTCATATTTCTATTTAAGCTAGTACTTCATGAAGACATGTGACTCTTCACACAAGGAGTAATTTCTTTGTAATTTGTCCTTTTGCACCAATATTATTGTTATGCAAAGATGGAATGATGCAAAGACCTATGGTTATGGGATGTGATAGGTTATGATCTAAAAACATTAATGGAGCATCAAATGTGTAATGTGTACTTCTCTTGCTATGCAAAAAAAATAATTCTGGATTGAGACAATTTACCTCAATCATATTTTCCACTTTGTGATTTAAATTTTATCAGTCAGTATGTGAAATACTGAAATGTCACTGTCAAAACAATGAGGAGAAATGAGCATATTTTGGCACCAGTTTCTTTGGGATGGACCTGCTCTCTAGTGACAAGGAATACAAAGTTGCAGTAAAAATAAATGGAGGTGATGGCACAGAGGCACATGTGTTAGGTGTCTGCTAAAACGCAGGCAAGAAATGCAAGCATCACAGAGATCCTAACTGGGTTCATGGTCATGATAGATGCAATAACTGGAACCATGTCACACTGTACCTATACTTCTGAGATCCTGTACTTATCAGGTCTCTTGACAGCACATGGATGAGATTTACAATGTAAACATCAAATCCAATGAGGATTGAGAAGAGGAAGACAAAACAAATCCCAGATTTGGAATTTAACATGCTGAGAGTGCATTGTAGGCCACCTTGAACCCAGGCAGATGTGGATGGCAAGAATGATATTCATGTCAACAAGGGGCATGCACAGCATCCTCAACTGTAATAAATACAAAGCCTATTTTACAACATATTGCTTTGCACTACTGGCCCAAAAAAGAACAGAAGGAGCAGGCAAACTAGTCACAGAATAGAAAAAATCCCAAGAAACCGCAAGGAGACACTCCCAACGCTTCTTGATCATATTGCTAGTCATTGGCATGCATCTCCATATGGCTACTTATTTCTATTGAATTTGAATTAATCCAGATCAAGAATGTTAGCCAGAGGGTGAGTTGATGAGTCAGAAAGTGTTCTGAAATGAAGGCACACTGCTACATTCCCTGATAAATAGCCCATATTTACCAATTGGTTGGCCTGATTTCATTTCCTCAAGTCACTTACTGGTACCTAACTCTTGATTATAGTGCAGATCTACTTGCATACTGCACCCCAATTTTCACATCTCACCATGAAGGACATTTCTGATTCTGCTGACAAGGACAACCATCACTGGGATCCAGGATTTTCCCAATGAGAAGAGACATTGTTGGAAATCTCTTCTGCAGGGATCTGAGGATTATTTTGAGATTCTGTTCCAAGTTCTTCTTCCAGCCATGATGGAATTGGGTATCCCAACCGTTTGAAGAGCTTCTCCAGAGCTGTGTTTTCTGGCTGGTAGTATTCCTGCAGTTTAGGGATATATCATTATTAAAAATAAAGTCACTTTCATGGTTCATCATGATATTCATAATATTCCACAATATTCAAGGCAGCACCTTTACACTCACTCCACAGTAAGTCAACTGGCATTGTGTAGGAAAGTTCATGTTATGAACAGTGCAAAGACGAGAGAAACCATTCCTGGTGATGTCCAAATTTACAAATCTCCCCTACTCATCTGCATGAATTTCTGTAGTGATGAAAGAATCCCAATAATTGAATTCCACTTGGCAAAGGAGTTGCTATTTGGTTCAATATAATAAGATGATTGTGATGTTTCTTTAATCATTTGGGTTCAATTGGAATAGTTTTGGATGGATTTAGTCAAACCCAGGAGCTCATCTTAACTATTTTTTTCAACAATCAACAAGAACAAGGTAATTGGGTGGACACAACCAGCCCCTTTACATTAGAATGTTGGGCAGTTTTCTCTGGGAATAAACATCCTATCTTGATACCACCCATGATGTCCAAGCTGCACCTACAGATCCTATTCAGGAACACAAGGGGCAGGAAAGGAGAGAGCATGCAACCCAACCAGAATCAAACAAACACTGGGAACAAGTCCAAACCCATCCTGTTCACCTGAATGCAGCCCCTGCATTCACTGTATATGGATTGTATGGCCCACAGTAGCTGTCAGTTGATCCCATTCTCCTGTAGCATTTCCTACAGATGCTCCTGGGCTTGCTTGAATTGTGACCCCATTAAGTTCGGATAAGAGGTTTAAAAAATGTATGTATGTATGTATGTAATAATCCTATCCCCTGGAATCCATAATCAACTTAATCATACAATACCATGAGTTCATGTTTGAAATTTTATAAAGGTTGCTTGACTCCTTTTTAGTGCTGCAGTTTCAATTGCTACCAGTGTAAAATTTGTCAAGAATCCTAACAATGAAAGGAAAGACAGTAAACCCATTTCCCCTACTTTCTCCTCCTCTTACTCAAGGGATCAGACCTGGGATTCCTGGAACTGTTTTCTGGAAATCCACTGAAGTGCAAATATACAGGGTGGGCCAAAAAAATATTCAGTTATCTTTAACGCTTCACAGCTTAGTTTCTCAAGAGTCTGAAAATATTGCAATAACATCTCTATATAGGACATTTATCTAGCCTTCCACTGATATCAAAAGATTTAAGATCCGATCCGTCATTCCGAGGCAGTTGCACACAGTGTAACAGAGGTAGCACTTGAAAAGTGCACTTATCAGTACCCTACAAGATGTGCTTCAGGTGACGTCCATTCCTTCACTCATGGCGAGTGGGCAACCTCTTGGCATGCACTAGCTGCCATTGGGGCAGGGCACCAACTTTTCCAGCACCACCTCTTATACTCTTTACCTAACTGCATGAAAGTCATGTCATGAATCTTTATTCTTTTTACATCATTGGAGAGCTAGAATGTTCTATACAGAGGTGCTACTGCAATTTCAGCAAACTTTTAGGAGCCAGTGCTGTGGAGTGATAAAGATAACTGAAGTTTTTTTTGGCCCACCCTGTACATATTAGCGAACTACATACTCTGAGAAATTTGAGAGATGCAGACTCCATGGGTGGGTAATTTCTGCCTTTTCCTTGTCCCAGGCATTTTGTCTTGTTCAGTGAATCCACCTGACAGTAGAAACCTTTCTGATCCACATACCTATAGAAAATATGTCCCATGAGGGAATGATGATGGAGATTTGAACTTGGTATTGAGGACAGAGACAAAATGGTCATTTGTAGACTCACTTGAGATGGTTTGCATAGTCAAAGAAGGGTCTGATCTTAAGCTCTGTTTGCAGTTGATTGAGTACCAGGATCGGGTCAGACTTGAGTCGTTCTCCATCAACCAAATGCAGCTGTTGAGGAGGAAAGAGGGCCAGCCATCGCTCCAAGTGATGGGCATACATCCCAGGCTGAAGTATCCTGCACAGCCAAACAATTTACTATCATCATTTACAACTCTTCTTTTTTCTTTTTTTTTATATTAAAAAAGGAAGAATAGGAGCTAAGTGAATGGTGGGCCCCACTGGCATATGGTGGCACATGGCTGGTGGGATCCATACCATGGTGAGATCCTCCCAACACCATAGCTGGCAGAGTGCAAGACCCTTGTGAAGCTGTTGAAGTCATGGGAAGTTGTCCTATGCTAAGGTTTGACGACGCACCTGCGAGTCCAGATCCGCCCCACACCTGGATCTCTCCCGTTTTCATATTGTTACTGTTCCGTTTATTTAAATTTGGAGAGAGCAAGAGAGCTGCCATTGAATGAGAAGCAGCCTGCTTTTAAGTAGGTTAGGTTGCTGGGATATTTTAACACGTTCCCTACGAAACAACCCACCGGTGGGTTGCTCCACATGCAATTAGTCGTAACCGGTTTTGCTGCCGCAGGGAACGTTTTAGCCCTTTTGAGGAGGGCGTTTTTGAGTGAGTTTTTTTTTTCACGGCTCGGAGGCTTTCCTTCAATAGTGTAATTTGGTTTCAGAGGCAATGTCCAGGAAAAAGTTTATTGTTTATTTATCAAATACGGTCCAAATAATGATTACAAAGGTTCACCTGCAACATTTACATATATTTCTTGAAATTTGATAATTGAAATGAAAAAAGTCAATAGCGAAGAAAACCCCCTTGGATTCATATACTCAGTAATGCTTCAGGGTGTGGTATTCCGCAAAGTACAAGTGAAGGCAAAGTCCCAGATTACACGGGACACACTGGTAACCATAGTCTCTTGCTTTTTCTCCCGCCTTGGGGTGCGTTTGCAAACGACACTCCCTTTGTGTCTTCTTTTGGCAAAATCAAAAATTCTGTTATTTCTTTTTCTGCAAACGTTTGCTTTCTTCTATTCGCCATGGCTCACTGATCAGCGGGGCGCTGCATAAATATTGGCTGGTATGCAAGAACGTATAAAACCAATAAAATAGCTATTTTGGGGGGTATCATATAAGTTTGATAGGTTTGCCGTATGCAGAAACATTTTATACCTATCATGATAGGGTATCATGATAGGTATAAAATGGATCATAATCGCTTCGATTATGATCCAGAGCTTGTTTATTCTGCTTATAACGAGCTACCAGGGTGGATTGCAGCGCATTTTATTAACCCAATTAATTATGTGAACAGTCGCAACTTGTGCTGAGCGCAGTTACTCTTAGATTAAATCCCATAGAATTCTTTGTATCAAGCCACGGCAGTCGGAATTCAAGCACTAGTCTGGTAAACGGGGTCAGATTAATACCGTTAAATCATCACACTGGTCACTCATGTGACACTCTGGTCAGTCATGTGGGCAGACACACATGGCATTGTTCCTGGGCGGGAGACGATGGATACGAAGTTGTCATCAGGAAGATTCACGAATACCTATCATAATAGGTATGAAGATACCTATCATAATAGGCCTCACGATGGATACCTATAATTTGTTCTTGCATACGGAACTGAGCAAATAATAGACCTATCGCCTGATACCTATCATGAAAGCTACCATGTAATAGGCTATCAAGTGTTGGGTTCTTGCATACGGGCCAATAAATATATTTTGTGACCTAAATTGGGGACTATTGTTGCTTGCCGAAGTTCCTTGATATGCAGAGAGATAGGAAAAGCTGTCGTGCAAGTTTTAAGCCGGACAGTACAGTACAGGCATTCTATTCAATACATCGCGCGAAAACCTCAACCTGTAAATATACGGGCATACTCTTCAAAGGATTAGTATTAGATCCACTTGAGGCTGAAGGAGATGAAAGATTAAGGTTCCTAGCAGATTAATGTCTCAGTCTGTCTATTCACATTATTTATTTAAATCATTTTAAATTTACAGCCTGTCAGAAGTGAGTTAAGGAGCAGAGGCCCCACAATGAGAAAGGAGTTTCCTGGTACCAGCTGGTCGGAAGGGCCTTATCAAGCGCCCTAGGGAGACTTTCATAACCTGCCACCTAGGCAGGTTATGAAAGATGAGCGAGAAGTGTGGTTGAAGTGTGCGTGTTAGAAAGAGGAAAACATTGAAAGCAAGAAGGATATGACCGCTTGAGAGAAAGTGAAAGGGTATAAATTTTTATTATTATATTATTGATATTATTTTAATTGAGCGCGAGAATGAAGCGGAGTAGACAAGGTGATGAATGAAGGTGACAGGTGAGAGAAAGAGAGGAGGGTAAGATATGTCAAGGCGATGACGGAGGGGACAAGCGGAGACTCGTCCTTATCGATTACAGCGTTGCAGAAAAAAAGCACTGCAGGTGTCCGCGATCGATAAGAGTGAAGGTCGCGGAGGTTCAAGGAAAGGGTGTTTTCGAATTCCCTCCGAAGCGTTTCATGATTTTATTTTAGGTTTTAGTTCGCTTCAAGCGTTCTATGGTAAACTTCTTATTTAATATCTCTGGAATTTCTTGAATGTCCCCTGGCCTTTTATTGTCGTCATATTAATTAAACGCAAGTATAAGCAGCATGAGAGGGGATAAAAAAAAGTTCCAGCCCTCATAGAGAAGAAAGAGTTTCGGAAGCATGATAATACAGTTGGCGCTCGTTATAAGGAAGTACGCTTTAACGAAAAACACCATTTAACGAATTAACGAATATCATGCCTGAATTCCTTTTATTTTATGCACATTTTCAAAAAATCTAATTACTTTTGATTTCAATGCTAACCTCATCCTAAATAAACTCTTTTTCATACATTATGCCACAATTTATAACTACTCCTTGTACAAGGTCCTCAAGATAGAAGAGACTCCTTACCGATTGTGGAGTTCTCGGAGAGCACGAGGGGCATGTCGTGGATTTGCAGTGATCACCTCGTGAAATGAGAATTCCAGAGCTGCCTTGTCATTGTGAACCCTTTGGTGATGATACCAAGAGTATGCTCGCCTAGATCCAGTAAAAAATGAGGGAATGATGAAGTATATCACTAATACAAACAGAACACAACCCAGCACTGAACCTAGACCAAACCAAACCACCTGTTTTTTTTTGTTTTTTTTTTTTTAATAAGACACTGAACTCAGACCAAGGAGCACAGTAGCAGATATTTGAACTTGAACCAGAAATGAAGTTTAGTTTATTTTTCCATTTTAGGCAGTCAAAACATGCAGGCTGTCACAACTACTCCAGTTATCACGGAATGCCTCTTTTCGGAAATTAAATTTATCCTCTCTTATGTACAAGTATTTTAAACATTAGAATATCATTTTTCCAAAGGTGGACAGGCACACCATATCCTAAAATAACTGAGGAAAAAATATTTCATGAAATCATGACACTCAATACCTTTTTTTTTGTTATACTTGCCTAAAAATTATTACCAGAGGGAAAGATAAAAGCAAACAATTTTTTCCCCAGTTCAAAGTGGGAATCAGCTAACATTTGACTAAGAAAGCCAGAATTGAACTGGATCAGGGCAAGGAGTAGTTTGAACTAGCATTGGGCAAAAACTTTCAGTTTGGCTCCCTGAATTAAACTTTATTTTTGCTAAAAGTATATTCAAAGATTATGGAGAAAATAAAGTTAACAAAAAAAAACAAAGAGAAACAAACTTGGATGGAGGGATGAGAATGGTGATGAGGTGAGCTGATGGAAGGAGAGCATGTACACGCTGGGGTACAAGTGTCCCATCAAAGTAGTTGGCTGACTTCTCAAATAAGTATCTTGTTTCATTATCATTTGCTGGTGGAGGGAAAAAGCTCATGTACCTGTGGGGTGAAAAGTAAAATCAGAGGCATCAAAGTGTAACATCACATAAGAGTTCAACAAGAAGCTGTTATGCAGTGATATTTCCACTAACCAATCAATGCCTTTCTGGTAATTCTTGCCACTGAAGAATTGAAGCTCTTCAAATGTCTCAGGAGAGTCCCTATTGCTTGAGATGGCAGGATGGATGGAGAGAAAGGAATAAAGAGCAGTTGTGCCTGTTTTCTGTGGTCCAATTATCAGAAAATTGGGCAGGCGTTCACAAGACTTATTCTTGCTCCAGATCTCCAAGTGCCGCTTGTCTTGACACGGATTCTAAATAGGAAGCTTACTGTAAATCCTCCTCAGAAGTAATATGATAATCATGAGGGATAACCAATGGAGAGGGCATGCTCACCCCCCAAATTGGATCTTGTTCTTCTGGGTACAGATCAAAGTAGATGTCTGCCAACTGAAGAGGTGGCCGTGTCTCCAATCGGAGGTTGGTCCAGCATCGCAAAAACTGGACTGCAGATTCAAACACATAGCTCCCCAATCGGTCCAGGGCATAGTTGCTCATGTGTGTCATAAACACGTTCACCTTTCCAAAGGAAATATCCAGAAATTATAGGAGCCTCCTGACAGAAAACAATCTCACTAGCATACAGGTATGTTGTTATGTTGCTTGCTTTCTCATTTCTCCTCCAAAGTACCATAAGAAAAGTCAATTATGAGAATTTCCTTCATACTGGAAGGAAGAAATACCCATCCCATCTTGACTACTCCTGAACACAAGCGAAGAATTCAATTAATGCATTATTTCATTAAATGCATTAAGTTGCTAGATGTTGCTTTCTTCAAGATCAACTCCTTATCCTGCAGGTGCAACTCAACAAGCATTTGGATCATGGGCTACATCAAATAATAAAATAAGGATATTGACTTGACCACCTCCAGTTCTGATTAAACTTGGTGAATTTTTAGGGTTCAATGAGAAAATCCACACAAAATTTCAATTCACCAAATAATTCACATCAGAATATTGGACAATAAAGAAAATCTGATAACCCTGCAATCCTCTATTTGAAAGAGAGCTATGGTTATAAAGTGGATAAGACTTGTGCATACTGTAGAGCAGGTAGTGAGTATGTTACCCTGTTTGAGACTAGAGTCAAGAAGAGCTCGCCTCCTCGAATACTCTCCTCCAGCTTTTCTTTTCCTCCTGGAAACTCCTCATAAAGATTAGTGTGGGTATAGAGGCCACATGTCTGTCGAGGGAGCACCTACATAGAAATACATCATATGTAAAGGATGATAATAAAATCCTGACAAATTTTAATTCTTCCCCATGGTAGCACAGGACTTTAAAAAAAAAAGGAGTAAGCAGTGGAGAAGCAGCAGGTAGGACAGACCCTTCCATCTTCCCTTGATCACTCATTCAAAATTCCTGTGAGAGTCCACAAGCATCATATACTGAGTCAAAGGAGACTAATGAAGTACTCCAATAATGTTGAATTAGCCATCATTGTTGCATGGAATTTCAAGCAAAGAATAGAAAAAGAGTTATATCCACTCAAGAAGCTAAGAGAGGTCTATTTTTTTTCTAAATGGGACATTAGATACCAAAATGCACCTACAGTGAAGGCCATCTGGTTTAAGATAGCTATTAAAAGCATAAAAATAATGAAATAGGAAATCTTTTAAGAACAGAATTTTAGTATTAGTATACATTGCAATACCTCTGCATAGTTGCTTCTCCACAATGAACATGAAATGATTGAAGTCCACCTAAAGTCTATAGCAATATTTTTAACATATTCAAGACAGATTCCAGAAATGTATGTGCTTTCTTATTGAATTGGGCACAATATATTTCTGAGACCTCTGCTTTCTAACTGTCTCAATGAGGAATGTTGATGCCAACAGTGGCTAGAATGGAGAAATCAATTTATAGGCATAGCATGTATGCTTCCTACAAAAAAAAAAAAAAAAAAATTTTAGGAATCCAAGGCAGTCCACAATAATGATTTCCAGTCCTAGACATGTTAACAATTCTTACAAACAGTGAAAGGAAAAAATCTGTCCAAAAACAGCAGCATCAGTCCACAATGCAAATTGCTTCATGGTTCACCATAAAAATGGATGCAACACATTCCTGCTCTTGTGGCCCACTCCAATAGCTCCAACAAAGTCAATTCATCCATAAATTACCTATAAGCTATCCATAGATAGCTTACATTCCTCACAATCGCTACCCAACAAGTAAAGTAATAATGTTGCAACCTAAACTTCATCTGGGGTTTATGCAATTTGAATTGGTTACCTCTCATTCTGTTGCTTCCTAACTTGCCAATCAATAATTGTTAAAATCTCACTACCTGCACTTTCATTAGCAATTTTTCTGCAATGTGCAATAATTTATTGATGAACAAAAGGTAAAATGAAAAAAACGGACTTCAAAATCTCATATAGAAGCAGGCCTACTACAGGGTGGGCCAAGAAAAAACTTTGGCTATCGTTATCACTCCACAGCAATGGTCCCCAAAAGTTTGCTAAAATTGCAATAGTGTCTCTGCATAGAACATTCTAGCTTTCCAATGTCAAATGAATAAAGATTCATGACATGACTTTCATGCAGTTAGATAAAGAGTATAAGAGGTGGTGCTGGAAAAGTTAGTGCCCTGCCCCAATGGCAGCTTGTGCATGCAAGAGCTTGCCCACTCGCCATGAGTAAAGGAATGGACATCACCTGAAGGACATCTTGTAGGGTATTGATAAGTGCACTTTCCAAGTGCTACCTCTGTTACACTGTGTGTCACTGCATCAGAATGACGGATTGGATCTTATATCTTTTGGCATCAGTGAAAAGCTAGATAAATGTCCCATATAGAGACGTTATTGCAATATTTTCAAACTCTTGAGAAACTAAGCTGTGAAGCATTAAAGATAACTGAATATTTTTTTGGCCTACCCTGTACTAATCAGAATTGAAGGACTGCTTTGTCACCTTGATGCCATTGTGGATGAAGCCACGGCGGAGACGAGGAGGTCGGAGGTGAGGATATTCTTCTGTGGCTGTCACTTCCACTCCCCAAACGCTCTTCCAAGCTTCATACAATGGTTCATGAACAGGGTAGACTCCTGAGTGATGGGGAGCTATTGCATAGCTCCCATTCATTGGTAATCCTTGCTCCTGAAAGTATAATTTTAAAAATATGTCACAAAGAGCCATAAAATTGCTGGGTCTGAAGAATGCAGAATGTCTCATTCTCTACCAAGGAAATGTTCATAATTCCGTTTATTCACATGCTGTCGAGCTTTCCTGACAAGACATCCAGGATACAATATATCACAATCTAGTCCTACAGGTGAATTGCATACACCTCACAAGAAGCACTAAATTGTGATTCTTGATGTATAGTATAGACCAGGGGTGTCAAACATACGGCCCATGGGCCGGATCCGGCCCGCTGCCTGTTTTTTAAATTTCCGCTTGGATTGACTGTTAGCACAAATTTTGCTGAAAAAGTATGGGTGTGGTCCGCAGGCATCTCCAGGATAAGGAATGTGGCTCACTGACTGATTTGAGTTTGACACCCCTGGTATAGACTGTTTTCAATGAGAACAAAGAGTGAGGGTTTAATGATGGCTGAGCTTAAGAGAGAAAGGAGAGAAGTGACTGACCACAGCAAATTGCTTATTGAAGACCATATGAGCCTCCAGGGCAGTAATATTGTCGACTGAGTGTGGTTGCATATGAGTCCACATGTGCGGGAACCACCAAAATTCGTCCTTGTAGTCTGTGAAAACCAAATTCATGCACAAACCAATCATTCCATTGCATATCACATTCCAACCTCACTTTCAATCTCTATCTACCCTATGACTTTTAACCCAGACAGGTGACATACACATACCTTGCCCACTTCAACATCCTCATGAATCATCTTCAAAAATTCAAGCAACCAATTCAAACGATTACAAGGCTATAACTCACATAGGAGCAGATCTTCTGCTTCATCTTCATATGGAGTTCCTCGATGATGAAAGCCTCCTGAAAAACCTAGGTTGAACCTGAATCCTGGCACCAGAGATTGCAACCGCCTTTGAGCTTCCACAAGTTCCTGAATACAACACCAAAAACACCGCAACCATGACTTCATTGAATGCCTCATTTCTGCTATACCTGTGCAACTAGGCTTAATTCAATAGGCTTCCACTTGCTTTACCAAAGCCCCAGAGTCCTCAATTTTCTTTGCTATATATTTTGAAAAGGAGAGCACCCAGGAAATTGTTCAAAGGTAAAGTTTAGTTATTGTGTGGTTCCAATGATGGCAGTTTAGTTGTTATGCACACAAAGACATCCAGATAGGGTAGTAAAGGGGAGGGGAGGGGTGGTGAGAGTTACCTCAGAATAGAACAAAGTATGTATTATAAGATAGATGAAGGCAACATAGACATACCCAGATTTCACCCCCACATTCCCCAAAGAAAAGGTTGATGTAAAATCAATTAGAGAATTCCTTACACAGGAGTATAAATACATACAATACTTAAACAGAAGAAAGAAAAAGAAGTAATAAGTTGAAAAATTTATCAAAAACAGTAATACCCTTAACTGAGCATGTCAAAGTTCATAGATCACGGGGTAAGCCTAAAAAATGGATACAGCCACTAATTGGGAAAAACAGCTCTCTAAATAAAAGAGCCTTTGGAAGCCAGAGAGCTCTTCTTGATTGGTGTCAATGATTTGTTCCTTATACAACTCAGTGTCATACCACAAATGGGTCATAGTAGGGGAAAATGATTGGCATGGACATTTGGTGAATATCAGAGAAGTAATCATTAGTTTAGTCAGCCATCACCTATCCATGATATTAAGCAGCACTTCACTGGTAATCATTCTGATGTCTGCAACTCAAAGAGTGCTCTTGTTTCATGTCATTATTGGTCCCAAAATATGTTCTTTATCCAGATTACTATCTCTGTAAGACATTAAATCTCTTCCAGTTTGTAGATCATCAACTTATGCTCAGAGGAGTTCACAATAGCCAACTTCTCAAAACCCCATCATTCCGATGGCCTCAAAAACTTAACTGCTGAAATCAGTCTCATACATTCAGAAGTGGACATCCTAGTATATGGTATATGGCTGTTCCCCTGTTCCTTCCAGGGGAAAACATCTCAAGTTTGTGAGATTTGATTGGTAGTGTCAGGAGTCATCAATAATAATGAAGTATTTCTCCACCAAAGATAACATTAGGAGCAAAATTCTGCCTTTCACATGGAGCTGGGTTGTTTTAACTTGCAGTCAACAGGCATGGCCTATATTTTACAAATACAGAGAAAAAACATGGAACAGTCACTTCTTTCAAGGATTAAGCCTCCTGGGAGGGATGAAGCTTCAGTGCTTGAAATGGGATATTTTCCTAGGGGTGGCTGGGAATAGGTTCTTCTTTGTAATTTTTCCCTCCCCCCCAGCTTCAAATAAAAAATATGGGGCCATAGTTGGCCATATATTGCTCCATCTGCAATGTGCCCTTCTGTGAGAGCTTTTTCTTTCTCAAGGTGGCAAGTAATAAGCAAATCAATTCACATGAAACCTTGACTGCAACTATATAGTGTCTTTCTCGCATTTCCTTCCAGATGTAGTCATCATCCATGCTGCAATAACAAAAATTTTGCACCTGAAGTTCCCAATCATTCCAGCAATCTGCAGTGATTACAAAAGGCTTATTAGATTTAAAGTGGCCAAATCCATATTCAGGCTATCATGAAGAATGGATGCAAGAGTGCTTTCTCATTGGCAAATCTTGTTCATGAGAAAATTCATCCACATTTCATTCTATTCCAGTCTGATATCATCTTCAATGAATCTGTCATCTCATCATTACACTTTGGGTAAATCCTTCCAGGCATCTTTGCAAAAACCTCTGCCGCAAGAAAGCAGCCAGGAGCAGGAAGATGAAAAGCACTTATTCAATAATGACTCTGAGAGGGAATGGCTGCATTCTAATAAAGGTTGAAAATACTGAGGAGCAGACCCTAGTTGAAGCAAAGGAGGTCTCTTTCATGCCCTGCAAACACAACCCCAGTGGCTTGCCATGACCCACTGGGACAAGAAAATCTTGCATCATTGGTACCATATACAAGGTTAGTGTGGGGAAGAAGGGGCATAGGGTAAGTGAGACAAATTTCAACCCCTTCAAGCCTACAATCCATTCCCTTCCTTTCCTTTTGAAATTGAAAGTTTTGGGATCTCTGCTGTTCAAGCAGAAGATGCACATACTGCCCAGTCACTCTTTGAGACTGGAAATTAAAGTTGAGGGGATGAAAAAATGCAGAAGGATTTCTTGTTATATATTCATGTGATGTAGGGGGCAGACTTTATGGGTGGATCAGAATTAGTCTCATTACCCTAGCATGAGTCACTGGTTATGGTTAAGTGCAAAATTCTGAGTTTGATGGCCTTCCATACCAGCTTTACACCTTTAAATGTGAGGAGATGGCTTCAGTCAATACTCAGTCTTACTGGAATGCCATTTCACCCCATTTTCAAGCATTGTGAAATGTGCAATATGGACAGGAGTGAGTAGAGGATTGATTAAGAGAGCCAGGAATGAACAGAAGATTCACAGAGGTCTACTCAGAACTCTTGCTTTGAAGCACACCAAAGGCAAAGAGATCAGGTACAGACCCTGAATGGCATGGACCTCATCTAATTAACTATTCAATCAATCAAGATCAGGTAGGGAACCTGAATTGCATGGGCCTCATCTCATTAACCATCCAATCAATCAAAAGAGATCAAGGGATCATCCTCTGTTTCGCTCTTTTCCTCAATTCCCCTCTTCCTCCCACTCTCTCCATCCCCTTTCTTCGCCCACCAGGTTAACATGGATGTCATCTACACTTTGCTCATTCCACTCACCAGGACATCAGGGGGTATGAGACGGAACCCACTCTTTCCGACAAAGATGTCGTCAATATCAACAAGGAGGTATCGGGTTAGGGAATCAGAGAGTCTGCCATGACTCAGATATGACATTCCATCAAGAAGGAGAAGGTGGTGCAACCAAAATCCCAGTCCAGCACCAAACAAGATCCTTGGGATTCCATCATACTGGCCTTCATCCTAGCAGGGACCAAAACAATAATTCAGGCAATCAACAATACCAGTAAAGAAACATCAACTTTCCAGGGATTCTAACTGAAAAATGAAGGAAAAGGCGTACCAAGAGGACAGAGATCTTCTGTTCACTGCGAGGCACAGGAGGAGGGTCTGATATGCTTTTTGCCTGATCAAATGGAATGAGGGGTTCTAGAGGAACGTGAACCCATTCCACTGGCTTATATGTGGAGTGATTGCTACGGAAAGTAACCCATTTTTGAACAGTTCCCAGAGGAGAAACCACATCTCCTGGACGAGTGATGCGCAAAACTCTTGACTCAGGATTCAACTCGGCTCTCTACAAAGTAACCAGGATTTCATGTGAGGTGAAGGCTGGTTCAACAAACAAAAATAAGCACTTCACTTATTTCATCTAAATTGAGGCATTACTAATGGGCTCCTGACCAAAACATGAGAATAGAGTTCAACGGAGAGCGGGAATCCTGGAAGGGAACTTGAGAAGACATTTTCCCCCTGGGGAGCCAGAAACCCCAGGACTCCAACTTGATACTCCCGACAATACTTGTCCAAGATCCCTCGATGCCAGGAATCCATGTGGAGGTATTGATAGAAGTTCTCAAATATGATCACCCCAAACTTCCCCTTCCCTTCATTGGTCAGCACTGGCAGGGACTTCCCTGCTACCTCCAACTTGTACCTGAAAGGGACGGAAACCAAACCATTCAAATATCAAAACAGTTCATTCTGGGAGACTTGGACTGCGGACAGGTGAAGCGGTCCAACCTGATCCGATTGGCGACCAGCCACTCGGCGAGACTCTTTCCCAGGCTGGAATGAGTGGTGGTGACAAAAAGAAGAGCCCTTGGGTCTAGCCTCAATTGGGCCTTCCCTTCGTGTACTGCAGGCAAGTACTTCCCATAGTCCCACATCGGTCCTTGTCCTCGGGTCTGTGGCCACGCACACGGCACATTCACCACTGGACGTGACAACGGGATCGTTCTGCAGCAAAAATTCATCAACAATTCATCAGTTTCTGTTCAATCCTGTCCTATGTCCATGCCTTCCCATGCACATGTAAATCATGATTTGGGCGACTGGTTAATGCACGCATTTTGCACACATTATCCTCATTTTATGAAATAAGCAGCCAATGTACTCATTGCGTAAAATAAGGAATGTTGCTGCAAAATGCTTGCAATTAACGAGAAAATACAGCTGATTACACACTTTCAGCAAAAGCATTTTATTTTATTCGCAGCAAAAACTATTAGACATCATAATTCCATATCACCGAGTTTAAGAAACATACGACTACTGCGAGGAGACTAATTATGATGACAGGTCAAACAAAGTAATATCTTCAAAGGCTCCGTGTGTTACATATATTTGGCGCTGCGATCACAATGGAGATGTTACGGAATTTCCCGCTTTCAGAAATCACGGTCATTCGACTGTGTGACCCAGTGGCAGTTCGTGATATACAGCAGTAATAGTTCGTCAATGACGACATGGGAGGCCCGCCTCCTCTGTCTCCACTAACGAACCAATACTGCTGCATATCACGAGCCGCCCCTGGTGGCCTGCCTCTGCGATATCAAATTTTTTCTGATTGACACAACCTTACGGGTGGGATTCCCGACCATCAACAACGAAATGAAACACGTTTGGCTCTGGAAACAAAAGGGATGAAATAGATTTCGGCCGTGTGCCCTCGGCATTCAAGATTTTGTGAATATTTAGTTGAAAACGTTCTGCCGCCAGTGCAGGGCAGTGCCTGGGCAGGCAGGTTACTACTATGAAATTGGCGAGCGTCTCAAGCAAGTTTCTCAAATAATTTCATTTTAGAGTAAAATTTTCATACGTAACCTCGGTTTTCTCAAATGACTCTTGGAAAATTCGAGGCATCATATTTTATTCTGCTAACTCCAGATCCATAATTAGTTCATTTATATTTAATTGCAGTTTTTAACCCGATTCTTTTTATTTGTTGAGGTAGGCTTAGACCAGACTCTTCGGGTAGCAAACGTGACCTGGACTCCACTTTAGGAATCCTCTCGCGCGGTGAGCACAATACAATATTTAAAATTATTAGGAATGCTGAGTTGCCTGCATCACTACCTGGTGCGGGATAGCCGAAGGCCTTTGAACAAGCATAAAAGACTGGCTGTACTGAGGTAGAATGGTTGTGCCTCATTGATATGATGAACCGAAATTTCCCTTGCTTAATGCACGAAAAAAAAAGCATGAGAAACCCTGCAATAAGCAACGTTTCCCCCACTTTCATGATATACACGACTATGCTATTAGTTGCATGCATTCGGCAAAACGTAGTGCAACGCGCGCAGTATGCAGCTGCACGAATCACGCCTAACACATACACCACTTCACCATAACCTGAGTAGCGTCAATCCATTTGATACCTGCAAAACCTCTTAATGCATCACTTCGTCTTTTCTTCAGTCTTCTCCTAGAACGTATTCACCGTCTTAGCAGCCATTCAATAATTAAATGATTCCATGTGTCATCTCACGTTCGTACCAGGCGCTCAGTCTCGGTCCATTTGCTTTTCTTGATAGCATGCATGACGTCACGAACTCTTCTATTTTCCCTGATTCGAGATATCTTTTAGTTTCTTCTGGCGATTCCCAGCATCGATCCGTCGCAATTTGAAAATCTATTTGAATTCTTCATGAAGGAACAAGCATTGGCGGAGGAACTTTCTCAAGGCAAGTAGGGGAAGGCAAATGGCTCCGAACACCGAAGGGAAGAATCTGCGAGCGCCATATGCCAGAACTCGATCCTCTGGCAAGATATATGCAACTAGGTATTAGAAAAAAGTGAAGCGAGGGGACATTTGCCATCCGTGTCCCCCCCCCCCCCCCCCCCCCCCCCCCCCCCCCCCCCCCCCCCCCCCCCCCCCCCCACCCCCCCCCGCCCCCCCCCCCCCCCCCCCCCCTCCATTCCCACTTCCTACGCCCCTGGGAATAAGACAGTTTCGGGAAGAATAAAACTTTGAGGGCGACGGGATTGAAAGATCGATAGGAGCGCAGAGGACGGAAAATCTTTTTAGTTCCAAGCGAAGATATAAGGCGGTAAGGAATGAAGGCGGGAGAGAGAAATGGGTTTTGCCCATTGGAGCGAATCTCAATCCCCAATCATGGAACCAAAGGACGACTTCTGTCATCTTTCTCTCCTACTTAACCGTGAATGGAACACTAATCACTCCAATTCATTGTGATTCTCCACCTCCACTCTCCCTCGCATTTCACAATCCCGGATCAATGAAAGAACCTGATTGAGAGAAGACCTTCCTTTCTTTTTCTTTCAAGATCCCGTCTTTCAGCGTTCCATTACGGGAATGGAGAAATGGAGGGGGAGAGAGGGGTTCCGATATCGCGCTCTTACGTCCGACCAAGGAGACCTTATCGACTCCTTTTTCCCTTTTCTCTTTCTCCTTCGCATTATAGGCAGGGAGGGTGATGGAATGAAGCCTGATTAGGCGGAATGAGGGAGCCAATAAAGGAAGAGTTGGAGGGATGCCATGGGGGCCAGGGCCACGCCTCAATGCCAATATCAGCTGTCCCCCCTTTCTTTCTCTTTTCTTTTCCTGCTACCCTCGACCATAGGGATCGTGGCGATGAATGGATCGCAGTCCGCATTCCGATATCTTGAATATTTATAAATACCATCAACAAGACGTCCGGGAGAGCCTCGATGCGTCTGAACAAGAATCTTGGAAAGGAAGGGTTACAATAAGGGCCTTTTCGACCCCATGCGAATCATGGGGGGAAAAAGTTAAGTCCATAATCTGTATGAAAAAGAGCTATGTGGCCACTTGCGTGGGCAATTCCTTTCCCGGAATCAGTGAAATAGAGGATATTCTCGTGACTTCAGTCAATTCTTTGAGCAAGCTGATACTAGCTGAAGAAGCGACATTGACGCGCAATATGGTTTCGAAAAAGTATAGGCTAGAGGCCTAAATAACACGAATTGAAAGCTTATTCACAACCCTTTGGCCTGAATTTCTGAAAACCTGGCACATTTAGGCATGACGAGACGCACAGGAAGTCCCATCGCTCCGTTTTGAAGTGCGCGGGTAGATGTCTTCCTGGATATTGGCATCATACGGCTTCACGTAACATGGAACGCCACTTGGCAATCGATGCGTCGCCCTGAGGTGAAGATTTCAAGAGGCGAAAGGCGAAAAAAGAATGGTTATCTGTGCTACTCAAGAATCTAAAATCCCCTTTTCGTTCCAGAGAATACCAAGAGCATTAAAAATGGACCAAAAAGGTCCGGAACTTTCTTTTCAAAGACGTGGCGGTTCCGACTTCATATCGTAAACATCTCATTTCCTTCGGCTTCTATAAGAACTTTTTTTCAGATCTGAAATTGACAAGACATGAAAGTCTGACAACATTCTGCCAATGCGCCATTGATCTCATTGATCCGATCAAAGCTAAATGAGGGCAGATTGAGGGGAGCAGCTTTATCATTTTATTGACGAAGAGGAAAATGACAGGAGATGGGAAGACAGCGGATGATTCCACGCAATGATCAATGGCGGTTATCCTGAATGATGGGGGGTAACAAGCGGGAATCACAGACTCCGTGCTTCGTGATGATGACGAATGCATTTTTCCATTCACTCCTATATTTAGAGAGAATGGTTCGATGCAGTGAGAGATCCCAAATGAATGTCCAGCCCAACCCCCGGCCGATAGTATCGATTCTGATCTTTTCTTGGCCTCTCCCTCCTCCTCTATATTTCTCGCCTCTCTTCTATCCTTGATGTCATTAGGCAGCGAATGGGAGTCCCTTGTCCTCCTCATGCCCCTTCCAATGCCCCCCTCGTCAGCCTTCACTGTTCATTCCTCTGGGATCATCGAGGTGAATTCTATGTAAGGCCCTTCTCGAGCCTGACCCTGACAGTAATGACGCAACGACAACGCGAAAACTAGGCTAAGATCTTGCTCCCCTCGCTCACGGTCATCTCTTCATTTTCACTTGCTTCAGGTGACTCTCGCTTTCATCCTCGCTCTGGCGGTCAGACTGGTGTTCGAGCGTAGACACCAACCACTGCCCTCGTCAATTTCGGGGGACATTCCCTTCCCCCTTACGTCCATCTCACTCCAGCACGAGTACGCGCTTCACCGACGTTTTAATCAGTCGTCCAATACAGTTTGTTATCCCTAGTGAACCAATAAAGCAGCGGGTAATTGAGTCAGCAACACGTGCAATTGAGTGCATAGGCAGCGATTTATAATGGCACAATAGCTCGAGCTCTCCCAAAATCGTGCAGAGGGAGCTCAGTGTCCTCAAAATTCAGACTGTTTCTTATCAAGTAAGATCATATGCGGTCTAGGTCTGCTGCTTCAACTGAGAGGTATTTAAAGAGATTTTGAGTGCCTTCATTCACCTCTATTACCTAATTCGGCGTATTTTTCTTTCAACTTCCCTGAATGACTAGTATTTCTGAATAAAAATTTAATTTTGCTCATCATGGCAAAATGAATTCCGTCGTATTTCAAACTAATCCTTTTTTAAAGGTAAATTCTTGCTCAGAATGGGAATAGCAAAGTTGATCACACTTACCCAATCAGGCACGGGGGTAAGCGTGATCAAATGAATTGGGCTAAGTGTCATCATTCCTAGCCTAAACTTTTGCCCAGTTTTCACGTTTCATTCATTTTTATATTGTTACATTTCACTCGGAAACCAATTACTAGCTCAGTTTTGATAAGACAGGTTGTCATTGCACTCTCCATACAAGGGTAATAGGTCAATCCTCATTGCGCGTTGTGATTCGGCTAGTTCTAAGTAGATTAAAATCAGGACTTTGTAAGCATTTAGTGTAAAACAAGGAATAAGGAAAGTCTCGGTACATGCAACATTTCTAACAATTTTATATTTTTCTACAAGAGAATCAGTCAATAGAGAAAACAAAAGGGAGGAACGGAAGGCTGGAAATAGGGAGGGCGTTTAGTATACTAACAATGCCATTCCAGTCGTTAAAAGGGTAGCTTCAAGTCATTAAGAGGGTAGCTGGATCTTTTCCAAATTCTCAAATGATAATACACCCACTGACTATAAGGAGGTGGGAGTGAATGTGATCGCTGAGAGAAACTCTGATGTAAAAAGAAAATGCATACATAGAAATAGCACATAGACTTGTAGGCGAGCAAAATTAATCATGACCACATCCTTCTGATGATAAATATGAGTGACTTACCGTCTAAGTGATGTAAACTCAAAGTTTTAAAAGTGAGCGGACGTGAATGCCATGATTTGAGGCTAGCAGTCTAGCAATGGTGTGCATATTACTACATAATTACATATGCACACTTTCACCAATAATTCAGAAGTGAAACTTCTTCATTTTAAATTACACTTACCCTGCATGACCATGAACTTATTTGGCAAAGCGCACGGTTTTTGTCATGTCTTGAAGGTGCAGGAATAGAGAACAGTAACGCTAATTGGTCATTAGTTTTTGCAAGTGCATATGATTGAACATGGAATCATTAGGTGAAAAGACTGAACAAAAAGGCAGAGGAGCACGGCGCTCATTCATTTTTTGAGACAGGAGGAGGCATAGGCGGCGATTTATTGAGAAATTTGAGGGGGGGGGGTTCGAGCCCCCTGAGCCCCTATGAATCTCCGCCTATGGGAGGAGAGGTGGTATCAATAGTTCGCAGAGGAACAGTCTCTGACCCCCCCCCCCAAACTTTTTCAGCAAAAACCAATACTGGAAAGTGGAAATTCCACAACGTTTTTTATATTCGGAACATCCTTGAAGTCGTATTTTAGGGGCTTGGATATTTTAAACTCAACGTTAGATAACAAAAAATTTCCCTTTGGAACCGACGATTTACTTTCCTTCATTTAAACATTTTTTTTTTAATAAATAAACAAGGAGCAGTTCTAGACTTGCGGTATTGATCCCCAATCCATCCCATCCCACATTCCCAAAGTAACGAGGAAGTTTGAGTAATCACTCCCAGATTAGTCTCCCGGGGATAGGAATCAGCTTCTGCCATTCTTGAAAGTAATCTTCCCTGACATTATTACATTGTGAGCAACAACAAAAAAATCTCCCACCCCATATCGTTTGATTTTCTTTCGCACGGTAGAATAAACATTTTTCGAACAGGAGCTAAGCTGACAGCAGCTGTCGAAGCAGAAGAGGCCACATAGAACACTTTCAGTAATAGGAAATTCAAATCCTAACTTTATTCATGCCTGCTGTCATCTACGCTTTTAAATAATTCTTCATAGGAAAAAAAATAAAGGATGATGATCTTAGCATGTTACCGTAATAGTGCACGTGCAATGCGGTTTTTCTTCCATTATGTAGCAAAAACTTATCAGGGAAGATCTATATTTGTCGCCTTTCCTTGAAAAAAAATTGCCTAGACCAAGAAAGAGTAGCACTACTTTACTTCGAAATTCTATTACCGCGTCCGAATCAGGATGGATGGAGCAATCAAACGAGCAAGGGTGGACTTTTTCGGCTCACCCTGTAAAATGAAAACGCTTCCTTCTGATTGCTGCCTGTACTCCCTACTACAACAGTAAGTGCCACCTTCACGCGTACACTTAGGTGTAGAATAGGCAAAACCCGCAGAAGCTCAGTTACGGATGAGGAAGAAGTCTCCCTCCATAAAGAGTAATTTCATTCCCGTCTTACCATCCGACAGCACTCGACTCTCCTACAGATTTCCAAGAAGATTCGCAACATCCGTGAATTCCATTCGGTGATGTTACACACACTGCTTCCGCTTAGACGAAACCACATTGTGCGACGATTAAACGCGGACAGAAAGACTAGAAACGTCATTGAAACTGTCATTGTTTGAAGATTCCATGACCTATGGCTCTAATGGATACTGGGTCTTGTATATATAAAACAGTTAAGTCAAACATTACAGTTCTGAAAAGACTGCCCTACCTACAATGTTATTATAAGAGGATGATAGTCATAATGATGATATCATGTATTCACACTGCGACGTCAGATATTATGGTCAATAGCAATCAACGATGAATATGATTTCCCACAGGACTCTTCAGCATGTGTAGATCATCAATGACATCTGATGATAAGGAAATGCGCCATGAAAGAGGGGCTCTTTTATGCAAGGTTGCCCAAATGACACTGCTGCTCTTTAACCATCATCGGTTCTCTCCGCACCCAAAAATAGAGTTTTCAATTTCACTATCGTTATTGTGTCATCGCTAAAAAAAAAATCCCATCCAAACAATGTTCACACATTGATAACACTATCATAAGATAGTGTAGGCAAGGTATGCATCGATTTACGTACATCTATGGTCGCAGTGCCTCCAGCTCCTATGGAGCTGTCAAAAGTTCCGTAGACGGAACGTCAACTTCGCTCTATTCCCGCATTTCACCCACAGCCTCTTTAGGCTCGATTGGCAAGTTTACTTGCCAAATCCGCTTTCTCTACAGGCCCGGGGCCTAAGGAGGATAAACTCGATGGGTTGACTTCATACGACCTCATTTCTCTCAATATGACGCAACATCTGATTCACTAGCGGAAATTCAGGCACTGCTGATGTAACTTGTAACTTGGTGAACAGCTTCCCAATTGCATGGGCTTGTACACAGATAGAACTTCCTCCTGTAAGCCTCTAATGCATAAACCTAGTATTGAATGTATTTGAGTGCAATATCACACAAGTGCTATTGGCCATTTACATGTCAGCATCTTTATAGCACTATTTGAGAACTGACTTCAGTGCCACATGGCTATCTTTTATATGCCTATCCAATAGCCGCAACTGCTATGCACACTGACATCACATCAGCAGGACTCCATAAAAGATTTGAGCTTTCAGTTAATGTTCTCCTGATGTCTTCATACTATTCCATAAGTTTCACTGTGCTACAGTACAATGCTTTTGTGCACGAGTGTCGCAAACATGCCAAGCATACCACTTGTTTTCTGAAAATAAAATGTTGAATGCCATCAGGGGACTGTATGCCTTATTGAAGGTGCTGCACTTGTAAAGTATGGTCTCGAAGACTCGAGGGCTAAACTAGCAAAGTACTAAAACGTATTTCCAATTAAATCCAAAGATTTACTTCTAAAAAATTATGAATCATCAACAGATGAATTTTTTAAATATTTCACACTGCGGAAAAGTACCTTTCCACTTAGCAATAGCAAATATTCATTCAATAGCAAATTCTTCCCTGATGTCTTGTTTCCTTGGTTTTAGGGGAGTGATCCCACAAGATTCTTACCGTTTCCTACAAAAGGTTTTAGCTGAAAAGAAGTTCTATGTTTTCAGTCCCTGTTCTCCTATCTAGATGGCTGCTTGTTGATGAGTCACGTAAAATGATCCATCGCCTCCTCCCACCATTCCTACCATCACCGTCACTCCAAACTCCCCTCCCCTTTTCCCCCTGCCTTGAAAAATCCACATTCCTGTGAATAATCATCTCACACTGTTTAGTAATAAAAGTTTGGGTTATGATGAGAACAGGCATTTCTTCTCATGTTGACATCCCAAGTCAAGGTTGAGTGTTAGTCCTATTCCTCTAAAGTAGGACTGTCACAATGACTGTTATGAAAGCATCAATGCATCGACCAAAACTATTGATGGGGCATCGATGCAATTATTTACAATCAATGAACGCCGTGGAAATGGGACGAGCTTTCCTCGTCTCTCACCGGTCGGTGAGACGCAGGAGGTCGCCATCCGTCGCTTCTCCCTCTGAAGGGGTTTGCCAAGCGTGTGGGATCATCGCGATGGCGGATAAAACCATCAACGTCTCCAGCTATCGATACATCGATGCATTGATGAATTGTGACAGACTTACTCGAAAGATTAAAGTTTGTTTAGTGGCAGGGTGAATCAATCTTTGCATACCTATTAACAGACATTTATTTCCGTTTTTCCTTCGAGTTAATATCTTTTAAGGTTCATTTGTTCTAGGATTCATTTTGCAAAAGGAAAGAACATCTACTCAGGGTTATATTTCATCCTCTGCAAGGAGAAAGGATCATCTATCAATCCCCAATTCTTGACACCTTATCTACGATCAGAGGTGGGCAAATACTGGTCGAGATTTATGAAAGACGATCAATCGAATGTATTCATATTCACATATGCGCCCAAGATTAACTTGAATGAATTCGGGTCGTTTTTCAAACATGTCGCCCATTCTGTTTCATGCCACAAATAGGCCAAGTACGCCCATTAGTAGTCAGTAATACGAAGCATACAATTTCACTTCGGCAGTTAAAATACAGAAAGAAAGCCTGTCAGAAATACAACATACCAGCTGATGTCTCTTCGATCTCAACCAAGAACACATTCAAAACTTATTTCAATCTCTTTGGGTATGACTTAGCCCACTCCCAAGAGGCGAAATATATCTGCTGGCCGGTTCAAAATCCAATATCTCGTAAACATATATCTCGTAAATCGCTTTTAGGAGTTGCTTCTCAAATTGCTAACAAAAAAGGACACAAAGTAAATGCATTACACAATTTCATATGTATTCCAAAAATATATTTTTCAGCAAAAAATATACTTTAAAAAATGCAAAAATTATTTTAGACGATTTTTAAAATTACCTATTTTATAAGTGAATTACAAAGTACGTGAAATAGGCATACTACTCAGTTCTTTACCCGAAATGTAGACCCTTCCTTGTCTCGTGTTCCTTTTCCTACCATCGACAGGACGCGATGATGAACTCACGCATAGTAATGGCGTCCAGTGGAGACGTAATAGCCGAGGGCAAGGATGGAGACGAGGGAGAGGAGGAGGAAAGCAAGAAGGAGCCTGAAGACGAAAATGGGATTCAAGAATGAGTGGAAGATGTGGTGGCCCTTGGCCACCCTTCGACGTCCATTCACATCATCCGAGATGAGACTGCCCCGGGACGTGGACGTGGACATCCCTCGCTCTCCGGCGGAGGGAGAAATAAATGAGAACGGACACAGCCTGTCAGGATGGAGCTCTCCTCCGTCTATTCATCTCTCCTCTTCCTCCTCCTCCTCGTCGTTCTTCAGTCTGATATCTCCCTCCTTCCTTATGTCATGCGCGGGAATACTCACACCTGCATACTCCCTCGATTCTCCCTATTTTCGTCATGCACCAAAAATCTAGGTGGGGGAAATAAAAGTATATCAACAGAATGGGAGTGGGTACATGTCATTACAGGAACCTACCCTCACCGTGTGGAGGATACATTCCCATCCCACTCTGAATTGGATAGTACGAGGGAAGTACCAAAAGGAATGTTTATTTTTACTTCCGAAAGTTATGCACGTAATGACGTACAGTTTGGTGCAGTTATTTAATAACGTGTGCCTGATTATTCCACATAATCGCAGTCGTTCTATATGGTGCTGGTCCATCGCCTCGGGAGCTTGAACATCCCTAGACAGACAAAATCTTTCGCGGTGTCTTCGACGCACTGTCTCATCGCTTGCGTAACCTCCTCATCCGAGTGGAAGTGATGACCGCGTAATGCAGCTATCAGAGCTTTCTGTGAGGCGAAGAGATGATAATACGACGGAGCTAAATCAGGGTTCTATGGTAGATGTGCCAGAACTGTCCATTCCATTTTTAGAATTGCCTCCACAGTGGCCTTCGCTGTATGGGGACGGGCATCGTCATGCTTTGTGATAATTTCCTTCTTCGTCAGATGTGGTGGACAGGGTGCCACGAAATTACAGCCTCTCACCCTTCAGCAGAGCACATTGGGTGCATGCAAAAGCCAATTACAGGGTTTTAACTTATATCTAATTCTTCACCATTAAAATATTAATAATGGCTAGTTCACTCGCTGTTAAAAATGAAAAAATGAAAAAATGATTACATACATGCAGTGGCTCTCTAAGTGACTGTGGATGCTGGCGCAGTTTTCAGTTGGTCGCATCTCTTCAAATCACGCCCTGACAGACTTGAAGATGTTTTAAATGCGAATGGTGGTACTTGGTACTTCAAAAATTCAACTTCAAGTATGTTAGGGTGTAATTTGAAGCGAGAGCGGCAAGCTGAAAACTGCACCAGCACCCCTGTAATTGGCTTTTGCATACACCCAATGTACGTTGCTGTAGGGGAGGGGCTATCAATTTCGTGGCACCCTGTATAGTGTTCAGTTTTTCGACTTAAGCAATCCTTGTAAACAACTAGCCTCCTACATATTTCTGAGTCAGAAATGCCTTCCAGCACAATAAATTCAATGACACAACGTTTCTTCAACACTTCCTTATCCTTAATTTTGAAGCACCACACAACGGCTTGTGCAATCAGTATGCCCGCAAGTATCAATACGACAGGAGTTCATAAATAATATACACAGGGTTCACACTAGCTTTTTTAAATCCTGAGTCCTGGCGCCTAGCTTCAGCTGTGGGAACATGTTCAGGTGGTTGTCAATGTCCCACGGACTTGGATGTTCTGCAAATGAGTCCCTCCAGGAAACTATGAGTCAGGTACTCTCTATAACGAGTTAACGTGAAACTTGATACCTCTATTTGTAAATCAATATATGGATAATTTTCCGAGATAAAAATAAAGCGTAATTTCTCTTGGCACATCCCTTATATTTAATTTAGATAGCCTGGACTTAGAAAGCAGCCCGAGTCAATAGCTGCGATGCGATATTCATTGCGATCTGCCTGAATAATGTATCACGGGGGTCCGATATGAAGAGTAAAGAAAATATGAGAATGTCACAAGTTGCCTGGAGAGTGTGTGCGCTGGGCTGTTTGGTGGCTGACGATAAGAACCGCCAGCCAACCACTTCACTCTGTCCGCTAAGTGTTTGTGACATTGAAATTTTTTGCATATTTTTTAACTAAATAAAAATAATATATATTTGATGCGTTGGTGGACGCGGTCATAGCCGTCATAATGGCCCAGCGCACAGTTCGTGAAGAATCCTTAGAATATAGGAAGAAATGTTACACATAATAATGTAATTTCAAGAACATATGCATACATACAGCATGTAATAACTATGTTTGAGCAACTTGAATACAATATGATGTTGTTATGCATATTTATAACTAATTTCATTTACACCAGTCAACATTACTACTATAAATTAAATTATAGTAGTAATGTGTATAGTAGGGTGTAAAAATTGTCTGCAGCATAATTCAAACACATACTGGCCATGCCCATGGTGACAAGTAATTCTTACTTGGTTCTTATTTTTCATTAGGTCAATGAACTTGTATATGCACCAAGAAGAAGAGCTTACCCCCATGGAATGTGATGGGCCTACCTTTAAGGTAGGCCCATCACATTCATTGTATGGTGGCAACCCATACTCATGAACATGTCCTTAGAGAAAATATGTAGTTGAAAAGAGTTACGCCTTTGACACAAGAAAAAGCTTGCCTGTAGGTTAGAATTATGACATGGCCACCAATCCTAGAGGAACTCAAGTGACTTCTAATATTTCAAGAAAATCCCTCAAAACCATTAAACTGCTAGAGTAATTTTTACTTTTTCAAACCCAGGAGTGTCATAACTTTTGTTGTAATTCCTGATTTTCTGAAGGCAGAAAAATATCAATGAAAATATCGATACACATGACAACAGAATACATTTTCTTACTATAAAATGAAGTACAAAGGGCTTGAGCCTCATGAATGTGCCTTCACTCTGGAATCCCAGCCATCTCTCTCCCCCATTTAAGATGTCCAAGTAACCTTAAACAATAAAATACACCCATTTTGGCTCAAATGGTTTCTCCAAGGATGTGTCACCCATATTCAGCCTTTATCACTGGGATTTGACACCCCACATCTAAAGATTGAAGTGCCTAGGGCTTAGGGGATCATCCTTCCTAAACACACCAGGGTCTGCAGTCAGAAATAAATGAGTGAACTTGTTTATATCAAACCCAGGTCCTCTAAAAAGGGAGCCATGATTGCAATCAACCAAGCCACTCACCTCTCCCTATCTTAACTTCTTTCTTAGCATGTAAGAATTTGTGGCCTAGTGTACATTCATCCCCTTACAGTTGCAAGGGAAAAGTGAGATCTAAGTATGAATCACATCTCAGTGTGGTCATAGCACAGTTTGTTTTAGAATGTGTTATAGTGTATTCCTTGAACCTTGGGGTTGTCATATCTAGTTGGCTCTTCACTGAGAGGCTGGAAGGTGAGAAGTGGGGGAACATCAATCAAATTTTCCTGACTGTGAAGCAGAGGCATACTTGCAGAAGTAAACTAAAACCTTGCTTTCCAATAGGAGGAATACAAATCATCAAACCAACAGTCTCACATGCCCCTGGATATCCCTTCCCCTGGTCCATTAACCAACCAGATGGCAATTAACCTCACTTTACCTGGTTAGCAAATTGACAGGTTAATTGTTCCCATGGCTTATCTTTTTCAACCACATGGCTGAAGAAATACACCATACACCTCTTCTGATAGTTACAAATCTAATATGCATAGACAATTGCAAGTGACTGACGTGAATTCTAACCATGGAAATACTTTTTTTTTTTACACTGTCATGCTCCCATTTCTTTACTTCACACTTACAGGCTGATAGTATAATCCAAAAGCTAATATTCCAATTGACAACCAATTGTCATGATAATGGATGGCATTTAGTATATGCCTATTGTTGACAGCAATCTCACTTATTGACTTATTTTTATATGCTAGCATATAGGCCTTGGGCAACTCCTTAGCACTTGCGTCCATCATCACAAATTCCATCCTTTGACTCATTCCTTTGAATTTAGTTGAGCTTTTTTTGCACATCTGTATTACACGGCATTATAGGCCCTTAATTTACTCTAGGAATAAATTATCTATGTCCTAGAAGAACCTAAATCAACGCCCCAAGAAGTATTGTTTGCTTGCTTTTGGGGGCGTGGTCTCATTCAAGTCTTGCTGTCTTATACGAAGGGTTTTGAACGGATTGGGCTAAGCAAGCAAACACATGGGCTTCCCATTAGTCATGGTATAGGCCTAAATCTAAATTTACGCTCACTGCTCCACTCCTGCCATTTGTTTAAAATGAAACTTGAATCAGTTGGCATAACTTGAATGGGTCCCCAGCTGGGGCTAAAGCAACACACCAATACAGAGTACGCCAACATGTTTCACCACCACTAGAAGGCAAACAACCAAACAGACGGCACTCTAGGGAAGGGCGATTCCCTCGCTGGGTCTTCCCTCTTCACCTAGATGGCGGGTCCGGCCAGAGAACACCTGTGAGTGCAGGAAGGATTCTGACTTGAGGAGTTTATCTTCCCATGAGTGCATATGTAGGTCAACGTGGACTCAACTACTTCAGAAGAAAATAAAATTAATTAATTGACTGTAAATCGATGCTCAAGTGGAGCTAACTGGGAGCTAACCAAACCCTTTCTTTTTAGAATTTGGGATATGCAGGCGTTAAATAAATAGTGCTCTATCACACTCCTTTTTAATTTGAGCATTATACAGTGCATGAAGTGCAACAAACTGATATGCTGCACATTATGTAAGTCCAATGATGTTCAGTCCAATTTTAAGTCCATTTACATTTTCATGCATGACAAGCAAGCAAACCCTGATTCATACGACAAATAATAGATGGAAACCACATATTGACTTGCTGATTCTGCTACTCTGGAAGCAGAAGGTTCTCAGATGCAGATTCAGTGCTGCTTTGAACTTATTCTTTAGTGCTGATAACTAATTAATAATAATAGTTACGAGAACTGCTAGGAAACTAGAAATGTAGTGAATGCCAGGTTCTTTATTCTGACAATGAAAACCGAAATTGTTAGGTTCTGCCAAAAAAAAAAAAAGAGAAAAAAAAACGTAAATAATAAGATAATTGAATGAAATAGAGTTAAGGCCATTCCACACTTTGCGTCTCTCACGTGTGACGCGTGCAATACAGCAATGCGTGAAAGACGCTCGAACTTTTCACGTTTGTGCGTTCGTACCTGCGTCTCCATCGGTGCCGATGGAACGCCTGGCGCGTCTAGCCTCGTAGATGTGACGATATTTCGACGCACTGGGCGAACATCCTCTCATAAAACTTTTTCTCTCTCGTATGTATGCGTGCGGAAGTCCCGAATTGAACCGATCCCGATTCCACACGCAATCCTTGCGTTTCGCGAAAACCATCGGATGTAAGTGGACATGCGC